TCCTTGTTGCTTACATTGCAGTGCTCTGAAGTCAGGGAAAGGGAGGACCACACTGGGGTCCCCGAAAAGCCAAGCCTCGGAGAGTCACATAATCTCTTCCTTTTTTAGACACTTTCTGGGAGATTATCCCGGAAGTATTTTCCTCGAAGACCTGGCCATCGTCTCTAGGTTGGGTTTGGCCTAAGGGATCAACGCAGAGTTTATCAAAGAAGCGTTAGGTTCCAAGGGCAAGGACTAGCAGAGTCACTCCACAGAGGCGTAAGCTGACTGCAGTTTGGGCCAAGTCTCAGGGTTTCCATCTGGGAGGAAAAGTAGTCCATAATCTGCCAAGGAAAATAAAATGGGTTGTCCTAAGACAAGGGGCAATACCAGTACGGGATCATTAAAAGGTTGGCGAATTAATGCTCTCCAAGCAGTGCAAATGATGCTTTTACCACCTTGGGGTGTGATAAAACTGTGTTAATTCTCTGAGTCAATCAAGAGATCGATCAAGTCACCTCCTTGCTTTAAGAAAGTTTTTGTTGAGGGGTGCCTGGGTGGCTCAGTTGGTGAAGCGGCCGGCTCTTGATTTCGGCTCAAGTCATGATCTCAGAGTCCTGGGATGGATCCAGCCCTATGCTGGGCTCCACACTCAGCACGGAGTCTGCTTGAGGATTCTCCGTATCTCTCTCCAGCTCCCTCTGCCCCTGCCCCCACCCTCTAAAATAAATTAATAAATCTTTAAAAAAAAAAGATGAAAGTTTTTGTTGACACACTGCTAAGAGAGAAAAGCAAAGTGTTCTTCTCTCTGGTATACTAACATTTGTGTACGAAAGAAGAAATAGTCTTCTATCTACTCATTTGTGCAAAAGAAACACAAGAAAGATAAAGAAGAAATCAGTGAGTTTGGTTACTACAGCTGATAGGCAGAAGCCAGGGGAAAGGATGGGAAAAGGGGACAGGGTTTGGGGGAGGGATATTTCCCTGAGTATATTTTTTTGAGTAGTTTGGGTTTTAGTGCCTGTGATGTTTTAGGTACCCCAAAGAAATGAAACCAGTAAGAGGGAGGGGTAGGGGAGAGGAAATCTCTGTTACTTCTTTAGGAAAATAGAAAATTGTCTCCACCATCATGGTGATGGGATTGGTCAGTAAAGAAAGGACATGAATAAAAGGTACAGTTCTTAAAGTCTTTCTGACTTTTTAAGGAATCTGTTACAGACTGAAACTGAACTCTATACCACCTAGAGTTCTATAGAGCCTCCACATCCCCGGAGATCTTTAGGACTAGAATAGAATAGATCATGTCTGGATGATTCCAGGAAAGGGCTGATAAGAGTGAGACCCTAGGGCACCTGGGTGGCTCAGTTGGTTAGGCGACTGCCTTTGGCTCAGGTCATGATCCTGGAGTCCCGGGATTGATTCCCGCATCGGGCTCCCTGCTCAGCGGGGAGTCTGCTTCTCCCTCTGACCCTCCCTCCTCTCATGTGCTCTCTCTCTCTCTCTCATTCTCTCTCTCAAATAAATAAATAAAATCTTAAAAAAAAAAAAAGAGTGATACCCTAGACTGAATGTTCGTTCCCCCAAAATTCATACATTGAAATCTAATTCTCAAGGGGATGGATTGGTGGTGGGGCCTTTGGGAGGTGCTTAGGTCATGAGGGTGAAAACCTCCCCATCAGTGGGATTAGTGCCCTGTGAGTTCCTTTGCCCTTTCCACCAAGTGAGGACACAGCAAGAATATGGCCATCTATGACTGGGAAGTAGGATCCTCACCAGATCCAGATCTATTGGCACCTTGATCTTGATCTTCCCAGTTTCCAGAACCAAGACAAATAAATTTCTGTTGTTTATAAGCCACCCTGTCTATGGTACTTTTTTGTAGCAGCTTGAGCAGGCTAAGACTCATGAATCCCCTTCTGGGGTTGTGGGAAATTATCGGGGATCGTTCCAGGAAAGTAGTAAAGCAGGTGGTTTGTCTCTGAATCTTGCTTTCTCATTTCCTGTCTTCCCTTCCCTCCTTACATCTCCATGCTTCGTTCTGTCAATCTATTTTCATACCTGATTATCCCTGATAAGGCAGTAAGTCAGAAGTCTGAAGAATAACCTTTAAGAAGTCCCAATATGGAACATAAATGTTTTCATGGTCTAAGCACATCCAGTGTTCAGGACAGTGGTTTTTGTTGTTGTTTTTTGTTTGTTTTTGAAATAGCTATACTTATTTCTGGTAAAGGATCTATAAAGAATTGAACCCAGCATTTTATAACGTATGATAAAACTGTATGTTCAAATTCCCACTGGTATAATTCAGTACCAAGCTGGTTTCTTGGCCTGCAGAAAGCTCCTGAGTAAGCTTGACTTTGCCTTCCCCACTCCAGAAAGCTGCAACAGGTGTCATCAAGCTCTGGGAGGAAAGATATGGATCAGAGAAGACTGAGCATCCAGGACTCAGGAAGGTTCCAAATGGATCATGGAAGTTCTGGCTGGACCCCAGTTCTCTGTAAATAAATGACATCATTTTGGGGTTGATTTGGACTCCTTTCCTGAGGCTCTGGAACCCATCTGGCTACCTCCTGAATAATCTTCCAGAGTGCAAGTCCTTCCAAAACATCTTTAGTCTGGAGTAGGTCTCCTTGGCTGTCCCTTAACCCGAATTAATTAGCACTGGAAAAGAGAAGACTAATTTCTTAAGATATTCACCCCATGGAACTTGCCCCAATCATTTTATTCTTGTTTTCTATTTTTAGCAATGACATCAGTCAGGTTAAGTTTTGGTTTCTAATGAATCAATTCCATTCACATCGCCCTCTATTAAATATGCCACGCAGATTTTACGTGACAAATCTACTACTTTTAATGAGATTAATAAGCTTATCCTGAGATCTTCAAAGATTTATAGATAGTCAGCAGAGTGGGAAAGGCCTGCCTCATTTATTAGCTGTATATTTAAAGAATGGATTTCAGAGCAGTCATTAAAGTAACATGTGTCTTCCCTCTTCAAAATCGTTATAATTGTTTGTGTGCAAGTGCGTATCACAAAAGAATTTTCTCCAGCCCCGAGCTCTTGAAAACCAGGAAGTGTTACACGGACTGGTAACTACAGCTCCCCAGAGCCCTGTCTTTTTAGATCTGAGCCATGTGTTATGATAAATAAATAATCCCCTGAAGTGCATATCTTGCTTCTGGCAAGGATATAACAATTTAGAAGTACGGCTTCATAACGCCTACAGGAAAGAACTGAGGAGAAGAAAAAAGATTCCACATCTTGGCATGAAAACGGGAAAGGCCCCATTAACAACAAAGATTACAAATGTGAAAAGGATTTGGGGGCGACCTGACTCAGAGCTGGAGAGAAAAAAAAATTTGGAGATTTAAATACCAGTAGTTGGGTCTCAAGCCAAGTAAATAGGAGATGGTAAGTCCACAGATGCCAGAGGAGTATTGAATAGCCAAGTGTTAAGAGCCCGGCATTATACCAAAGTCCCTGCTTGTTCTGAACCTCAGCCCTGTGGAACAAAATAATGTTTCTGGATGTTATCTACTTAGTGCTTGAGCTTTCTGGGAGATAAAGCTGCATTGCAGATGTATTTTGAGGCAAAAAACCAAAAACAAAAAAACCCCAAAAACCACCCAATTATATTGAGCCCCTGAGTTTAGAGTGGCTAAAGCTATTTGCCCAACCGAAAATATGTAGTCACATGATTTACCATTTATGGAAAAGGCCAACAACCCACGGAGATGAATGGGTGGCAAGTACCCTGTATAATCACCTCGATGGAAATAGGCTTGAATGTTACCCACTTGGATTTCACCAATAGTGAATATAAGAAATTGCCCTATCTAGGAAAATGTCTTTAAAAAAAAACAACCACCAAAAAACAAACACTGCTACTGGGGATATTATCCAGTGTCTTTAAACAAGGAAATCCTTGACAAATTCCCTTCAGAAGCTCACACTGGGAAAAGGCCTGGTCCTCATGACAAACTGAACTGTCCCCTGAAATTCCACAAAGAATTCTGCAAGCCCCTGTTTTCTGCTTTTTCTACGTTGATGGACAACTCACAAGTAAGTTTGGTGTTTGTTATCATTCTTCTCAATTGGACTATTTTGCAGTCATTTCTTCTCACCTTTACTTTTGGAATAATTTGGTTTTAAAACCTTTTCTACAGTCTCAATTATTTTTTTCCCCTGAACTGGGTGGCATATATAAAAGGTGTCATTCATTCAGAGATTTAAAATGTGCCTTGAGACATGCGTTTCCAACTGGCGCTGCATTCCCTTGGCAGAATGTTTGTTTCCTCCCGCCCCATTGTTTGCTTGTTTACTTGAAGTGAGAAAAGACCAGAAAGCAAAGGACAGCAAATCGAGGGCGGAGGGTGTGGCCGGAAAATTCCCAGGAATAAACCACTGACAAAATATCGCCCCGAAACAGACAGGTCCTATGAAGAACTATGATTTCCATGTTCGAAGGCTCTTTTCTCTTGTCCAAATAGAGTTGGAAGCGGGCTTATTCAGTTCTTTCCTCAATGCTCAAACAGCAATTGACAAGGCAAGTGTGCTGCGCAGGCTCTCTCTTCACAGCTGTCGCAGGGAAATGGGGGCGTATTTACCTGTAGTCCGAAAGGAGTGAAATTAATATGCAGAAGGGGACCCGCGAGATTTCCCTGTCCTGGTTGCTCACCACATTCCCAGATTTCTAGGACATCCGTTAAGATCTTTGCATTTGTTTTACAATTGTCCATAGTTATTAACAAGGTTTTAGAAATTAATTAGCTCACAAGGTGGAAGATTACCATTTAGGTAGAAATCCGAGGGTCTCGGGGGCTGTCTTCCTTCAAATGAGTAATTAGTAACATTTTGTGTGTCTAGTTTGTAGAGAAAAGATCCGGTGCTTCCTAAGTCTCTCCATGTGCTTTAAAGGCATAGTGACAAATACTGACTGCAGCAGGTAGTAGGTGCCAGTAAGCGTGTTGAATACACGTGTTTTACAAATGGAAACCGGAAGCTTAGGACAGCAGGGAAACTACTGGTCTGGGAGCGGGAACACCTCTGTTTTATTCTGGTACTGCTGTTCTCTAGCACAGTCCAGGCAAGAGGCAGCATGCTGCCTGCCCCGCCAGGCCCCCGGCCCCGGCCCAGCCCATCCTTCCCCAATCCCGGCCCCAAGGAGGCCATTCTCGCGGACTCCATCCCCGGAGCCCCCCTTGGGCTTGGCCTGGGGATGACAGGTGGGAAATGGAGGGTGAATAGCTAGTTCTCCCACCTCAGCTCCACGCTTTTGCCTCATCATCTATCCTTTTTGCTCTTAACCCTACCCACGCCTTTCTAAGTGACCCCGTTAAATTTTCTTCATTTGAACCATCTGGCGTGGATTCCGCTTCCGCCAGGACTCTGACCCATACAAACGGCAACCACCTTTAGCACACTGGAAACGGATCTGGAGCAGTGGGGTTGAATTCGGAACCTCTGCTGGGCTCACAGTTGGGTCCGGTTCTAAGAGGCTGCTGGGTGGGGAAGGGAGCAGGGAAGGTTAACTGGTGGCCACACGCCCAGGGCTGAGTCGCTTGCTGCTCTATCTCACAAGTGTGAGATACGGACCCCTCAAGTGGTCTTGAAGCCACGGCTCAGAAGCTTAGATGCAATTTAACCCACCAAGATATTAACACGCCCGGGCACTTGGCGATAAAAGAGTTTTGCTAATGACTCAACCCCCAATTTTTTTTTAAATTTAGGTTTTGTTTTTTTTTAAATAGCTTAAATTTAGGTTTTGTTTTTTTT